AAGAAAATGGGTTCTAAGAGTTCTCATCACAACTCAAAAATGAGGAAGCTTCTTTTTTTTGTCCTTTTTTTGGGGTAGCTATATGAGATAATGGATATTAACTAAGCTCACTGTGGTAATCATTTCACTCTACATATAAGTCAAACCATTTTGCTGTGTATCTTAAATTTGTGCCGTGCTGTCTGTCACTTACATCTCAACAAAACTGGAGGAAAAAAAGATCAAACTCTAACTTATGTTGACAAAGAGCACATGATTTAATGAGGAATTAAGCTCCCTTGTCTGTCTTCTTCACTGCTTCCATTTAGAAGGTCATGTTTTAACTCCCTCCCAGTGGACTTGAGCCTCATTCCTCTTCAGCAGCTCCCACTGAACACCCAGCTACCATAACTGGGCTCCTCATTGATGCTTGGTTTCAGCAGAAAGCTGTTCACCCCAGTAATTTCTCTCTTCCTGCACCCATCTCAACAGTAAGAAGGAAATGCTCTGTATTAATAGGTCAAGCTGCTGATATATCAGATTACCTGTCACTTCAAACTTTGACCACAAGACTCACAGTGTTAACATGAAAAGTGAAAACCCTACCTGAAATAGTCATTCCTTTAATTCTCTCTCCTGTGACAAGCCAAAGAAATATCCAGCTCAAATAAAGCATCGTTCTCCCTGGGTCCTGTCATCACTTCAGTGAACTTGCTCTGTTGACAGGCTGTGGTATGTTGTGTTTCAGAGCTCCTCCCTGAGAATCATCTTCATTTCTGGAAGTCAAGAAATGAGATGTGAAGAAATTAGAACCAGTGATCAAAATGTAAGTCACACAGGAAACCTTGAAAGGGGCGGGTCCTACCCAAATGCGCCTTCCCATGCCCACAGTGGTATATGGCAGTCTCTGCATGTGTCATTTCCTCTACATCTAAAGGAGGGAGAGTGTCTCAAGCTCACAGTAACCACTTGGACCTCTGCACTATACCGTGTGTTCTTTTGGTGCCATTTCTTCAAGGAATTCTTTTTCTTCTTCTTTTTTTTTTCTCTTAATGTTATCACCTAGCATGTATATTTCCATGAGTGATTTGGAGAGAGTTAAATGAAACTTTTCCTGAAAAGGTGACCCGAGTTGATTAAAAATGTCAGGATCGCCACAGTTCCGGAAGCCTATGCTATATTTCATATGTACAAAATTTGAGAATGTCCACATGTCTGTTTTATTTACTTTATTATTGAAAGGAAAAGTTGTCACTGGATAGCAATACTACTGTATTACTCTGTGTATCACCCTTGGGGTTGGTTGTAGGAATAAGGAACTTTATCTAAAAATCTGCCCTAAAACACTCCAATCCTGTCTTAAGCTCTTTAAAGTGAAGGGGGGCTGGGGATGGGGGACAAAACAATCCTCTGAAATAGAAAAGGTGAGGGAGCAAGATCACCTGGAGAGAAAGAATGAGAATCTTGCCTGTGTTCGTGGCACTTTTGTCTCCCTTATTGATAGGGTGGCCATTGGAATTTTCAAATCGTTTGTAAGAAATGAGCGATAAGCATACTGCGTGGGTGTCTTAGTCCATTTGGGCTGGTATACCAGAATACCACATGGTGGGTGGTTTATGCACAACGGAAATTTATTGTTCACAGTTCTGGAGGCTGGGAAGTCCAAGATCAAGTCACCAGCATGGTTGTATTCTGCTGAAGGCCCTCTATCTAGTGCATGGTGCCTTTTCCTTGTGTCCTCATGTGGTAAAAGTCGCTACAGATCTCTCTGGACTCTCTTTTATAAAAACACTAATCCTATTCATGAAGGCTCTACCGTTATTACCTAAACAACTTCCAAAGACCCCACCTCCTAATACCATCATTAATGGTATCATCTTTAAAGGTTAGAATTTCAACATATGAATTTGGAAAGTCCAGAATAGTGTGTAATATTTGGTTATTGATTAATGTTGTCTTGAGCAGAAAATAAAAGTAATTTTGTTATATGACTGTTTCATCTGTCCTTCTAGAGTCCTGAACTATTATCACTAACATAAAAAGTACTCTATATTACTCTGTCTGTTACTCTTGGGGTTATGGGAATAAGAAGATTTACCCCTGAGCTTTGCCTAAAAATTCCCCCTAAAACACTCCCATGCTGTCTCAGGCTCTTTAAAGTTAGGGGAGGGTGGGACAAAATAAACAGTATGGTCCCTGTCCTCAAGCATCTGTCACAACGTGAAGAACTTTGTGAAATAAAAAATTATTCTGACACTGATTGAAATAGTAAGAAAGACTTTTATTCAAGACTGTGGCAATAGGGGAGAGAAATCAAGCTCAACTCAGAAGACAATAAGAACAGGGGAGGATATAACCAAGGAGCAAGGTGAGGGGGTTCAGGGGCTGGAAAGTTACTAACGAAACATCAAAGTAGAGGGATTCTTACTAAACTGACCTAACAGAGTTCTTGCTCAAGGTGAGTCAAGGACTTAGATATTGAGGGTCGGAGGATGACTTAGCAGGACTCTTTGCTAAGACTGGTAAGACCAGACATTCGACTGAAGAGGGGTTTGAGGCCTAGTACAGAAGAGGGTTCAGAGAAGCTTGACTAAAATTTGGTCAGGAAGAGAGTCTTTGTCAACACAAACATGGAAATAAGCAATTACAGGAGGATGCAAGACAGAAACAAATACAGGGATGACAGAAAAGAAAAGAAAAAATAAAGAGGGAAGGAAGTAAAGGAAGGAAGGAAAGAGAGAGAAAAGAAAGAAGAAAGAAAGAAAGAAAGAAAGAAAGAAAGAAAGAAAGAAAGAAAGAAAGAAAGAAAGAAAGAAAGAAAGAAAGAAAGAAAAGAAAAGGGAAAAAGAGAAGGAAAGAAAAGAAAGGGGAAAAAAGGAAGAAAAGTTACATGAAATGTCACTTGGCCCTTTAAAAACCTTCCCACAATACCCGTGTTCTTTAGGAAGCTGACAAAATCAATCTCCCTCTCTTTCTACATCTAACCAGCCAAGCAAGTTCCTCTCCTCACCCTCCCTGCCTTCCCTGGCCCTTCCTGTGACCCCCTGCCTCCGCTGCCAACCTTCCCAGAATCTTTCTTTCCACCCTCCCTGCCTTCCCTGGCCCTTCCTGTGACCCCCTGCCTCCACTGCCAACCTTCCCAGAATCTTTCTTTCCAGGAATCTCCATTTTTTTCTTATAAATACATACTGGGATTTCCTCGTCTTATAAAATTCTTCATTTCCGACCAGTTTCCAACACACACACACACACACACACACACACACACACACACCCCATATCTCTAACATCTTCAGATGCAGGAAGGAGAAATTTTAATATCTATAATTTTTTATTAATAAGTAATGTTTTTCTTAATTTAAAAAAAATGTTTTAAAAGATTTTATTTATTTATTTGCCAGAGAGAGAGAGCGAGAGAGAGCCCAAGCAGGGGGGCGGCAAGCAGAGGGAGAAGTAGGCTCCCCGCCGAGCAGGGAGCTCGATGCAGGGCTTGATCCCAGGACCCTGGGATCATGACCTGAGCTGAAGGCAGATGCTTAATGACTGAGCCACCCAGGCCCCCAAGTAGTGTTTCTCTAACAGAAGAATTGAACTTGAGGTGTCTTTGGGGCCCCAGTTGGAGCACTGCAAAGAAAGCCGGGTGACTCAGAAAGGCTTCTGGAGGTCGGCGGCATGGAGAAGAGTTCAAGCCAGGAGCATCTGTAAGCTGCAAGGAGAAGGCAGACAGATTTCCTTGAAGAATACCAGACCGGAGAGGTTGGGTCAGGGCCAAGGCTGAAATGAAAACGAATAAACCCAAAAGGAAGAAAAGAAACAGAACACGGAGACCATCCTGATACAAAGCACAGAGAAAGTCTGGAGGCAAGATGGGATGTCAGCATCAGAAGCTATAGGGTTGGCATGAAAAAGACTGAGAAGCGTCCTGTAGGTTTGGCTCCAATAGATCAGATCAGCTTGTGCGAGGGGCCGGGGGTGAGCTGACAGGGAGCAGCACAAGAAAAGGAAGTAGCGGAAGGAATGTGAGGGCTGGGGACAAGCCCTGTAGTCCACCGGCTACACTGTGCAGGAAAGCCGGAGTTTGAGAATTTGTTGACAAAGGCAGAGCTTAGACACCATTCAGCTGTGAGGGGAATGAGTAAGCAGGTTGGCAGGTCAAGTACAAGTGAGAGCGAGGAAGTAGGAAGAGGTAGAATCCCTAAGACCATGGAGAGATCAGGCTTGGACAGGAGGCTGCAGAGCCATGCAGGGTGGGAAGGTCTATCCAGACCAGTTTACCCAGGTGGGAACCAGAGTAGTGGCGGCTGACCTGTTGAGAGGAGAGCACGCTCAGGGGAGGAGAGGCTTGATGAGATGGTGGAGCACCTTGAAGAGAGCCGGGCACGGGGACTAGAGTCACTGCACTGTTTATCCCCATTGGTGACAATGGGTGGCTCTTCTTACAAGGACTATGGTTGAGGAACAAGGCAGGATCAGCAACTGCCTTTTGAGATGTGTTCTCCCCTTCACCTTTCTTTCCTTTCCCTCAAAGAATAATCTCCCATCTCCAACCTCTAGAAGCATCTTCCTAAAAAGCAAACCTGCGCGTGCCATTTCCATGCTGCAGACTTTATCGGCTGCTCCGCACATGAGATAAAGAACCCATTCCTAGGGGGCCCCTGGGTGGCTCAGTCGGTTAAGCATCTGCCTTCGGCTCAGATCATTATCTCAGGGTCCTGGGATCGAGTCCCACGTTGGGCCCCGTGCTTCAATGGGGAGTCTGAGGATTCTGTCTCTCCCTCTTCCTCTGCCCATCCCCCTGCCCACTCATGCACGCTCTCTCACTCTCTCTGTCTCCCTCTCTCTAAAATAAAGAAATAAGTCTTTGAAAAAAATCCATTCCAGCCACCATTTGCAAAACACCGTGGGCTTTGATTCGGCTCTCTTATGTCTTATATTGTATTTCTTCTCCAGAGAGACCTTGCGTTGATATAATGAAGCCCATCCCTCCCTCCTCACTACTGCACCAGCCAGCAACTATCTTGTTAGTCATCTTATATGACTGTGTCTTAGCTCACATTATGATCTCAAAGTATGTTGTTTTAAAAACTTATGCCCCTACAAGAATTGAAATTCCACGACAGTAGGAGCTGGGTCTGTCTTTTCCAGCCTGCATGCTCTCTCCAGGAATAGTGCCAGGCTAACAAGAGGGCCTCAGTAACTCCTTGTTCATGGTTGACCCACACCGCAGTATCATTGTTATCTTGTATGCTGTGTTCTCCCACTAGACTGGGAGCTCCTTAAGAGCAGGGATCTTGTGTCAGAAATCTTAGCTCCAAATCCCAGGACAAAGCTTTATGTATGAGTCACAATCAGTTCTATTGTCCAGATAAATGCAAAACACTTCAGGAGGAGTCAGGACAAATGCATATCAATCTAGGTTTGACCATTCACTTGTTGTGTGACTCCAGTTAAGACACTTAACCTCTCTCTGTACTTCAGTTTTCTTATCTGCAAAATGAATTATTTGGGCTGTATCAGTAGTTCCTTCACCTCAGAGCTAGGGAATCTGAAGTTCTGGGGCTTAAACTAGGAAATGTGTATTTTTTTTTTAAAGCTCCTTGGCTTGGGAACCGTGAGAACATGATTGCTAAGATCATCTCAGCTCTAACATTTTGTGATCCCATGTTTGAATGTCCGAGCCTATAGCCAATTGGTTACCATACCCAGCAGCCTCCAGACCTCCGGAATTTCCAACCCAACCCTGAGCCACCAGAAGCTCTCTCTATGATGTACTCACCTGCTGGCTTATGACCTCAGGCTGCCTGGAGCTGTTTC